ATCCGTTCAGCAGTTTAGGTTACAAACTCTAGCAAACCATCCATCTATGGATCTAAACCGCTACGCTTTATGGTGGTTCAAGAAGTCACGTTCCTCTGGTACTGCTGTTCCCGCTCTTGTTTTCTCTTTTCTCATAAAAACTTGTATAATGTTGGATTGGAAGGACCCTCTTTCCTCAATTTCCGAACAATTTGTCCTATTTGATGTATGTTGCTCGATTTATAAGAGGGTCATATTTCAACAAATACTCCGTTCATTGTAATCTTCTGTAGCTTATATAGTTTAAATAGTTTATATGTCAATTTAAACTATTTGTTAATTAAATTTTCAAAGATAGTCAAAAGCAATCGGTATGCCGCCGAGGTCAAAACGTCCAGTCGTTATTTCTGAACAAAAGAGATTTGGCAACATGGAGGCAAGTTTTATTTGAACGAATTAATAATATTCTTTGGTCTAAATGTAAATATCTATAGGCATTATGTTCTTGGCCTTGTTTCCAATTGTGCCGCGTATAAATGTGTTCGGTAAATGTCTTTTGTTTTTTTATTCGTAAAACAAAATGGTGGCCAAGTTTACTAATTGAATTGTCTATTAATGTTTCTAAAGTTTTAATACGTTTTTCATTAAATAATAATTTATAACTTGATTAACGTCTGCGAGTTTTTTTTTAAATTCTATACTAACTTTCGCCTAAGACTCCGTCTGCGTGGAACTAAAAAAAAACAAAGGTGTGTAGCCTATGTGTTCTTCCAGAGTATCCTCTACGTCTATGTCAAATTTCATCAAGATTCGTTCATCCGTTTAGGCTACAAACTCTAACAAGCAACCATCCGTCTAAACTTTCGCTTTTATAATATTACTATAATACTTTGGCTATGATTTTTAACGCATAATCAGTTGAAAAAAGTTGGTAAGTATATGTAAATAAGGAATAGTAATGTTGGCTCGAGATCACGGAACCGTATTTTAAATAACAAATGACAGATATGACAATAAAATCGCTGGATGAATAGCTATCAATTATTACTGTGTATTTCTCTTACATTAATATGTATTTCTTTTATTGATTGAACATTTTGTTGGATATTGTTATAAGTTTTTTTATTTATATCCTAAGGTAGCAAACAAGCAAGCGGCCACCTAAATCACCAAAATGGCGAAACGACCACTGCCCAAAAAATCCGCAATTGCAGATGCGTTGCCTACCCTTATTGACGGAGGAGGAGACGCACATAAAGAGGATAATTCCCCGCCCTATGCGTCTTCTCCGCCGTCAAATCCCCTTTCCGATCCAATCCTTTCCTTATAATCAAAGAGTTTACGGGAAAGGGACTATAATTGGGCCTCCTGCACCACATTCATCAGACGGAACTTGAAATTGCTCCCACTTGACGCCTGTCTTCTGTGTGGTCGTGGTATTACACCGGGAGAGCCGATCCATTCGTGCGATGATGTTAAAGTGGGCTCTACCACTGTGATAAATGTATTGGAATAAAATATAGCCCATATTATTATTATTAAAGCACAGATATTACAATACTAGTAAAGCAAGTCTTGACTTGCATATTTCTGAGTCAGCATATCTTATACGTTGGACGTGTTGCTTGCAAAACATTCGCGATAAACGTAATAAAATGCATGTTTTTTTTGCATACCTCGCACGTCCACGTCGCGAAACACTGATTAGATTTGTTTCGCAATTTAATACTCGAGTGGAATTCATTGGGTTGTGAAATGACGTGAAGGAATTCCTACAGTACTCCAACGAATAAACACCTACCTGAAGACGTTACTCTTTTCGGATAGGTTGATTTTTCTATTTCTTATATCGTCACTGCAATTATGCTACTCATCATCATCAGCTTGCTCTTGTACCTCAGGGAGGTCGGCATCTCTGTCAGCCATCATATCAGAAATCACTCCCTTCTTAAGCATATGCTCTTTTATACAATCCATCCATACTTTCTTTCGCTTTACTGTAATTATCTTACGAATATTATAAATGCTTAGGTTTAGATGGATGGATGTTTGTTAGTTTGTAGCCTAAACGGCTGAACGGATCTTGATGAAATTAGGCATAGATAAAGAGGACAGTCGAAAACACATATGCTACTCACTTTTGTTTTTTTTATTACCATGCGACTGGAGTAGCAGGCGGAAGCACTAGCTAGTACTAACTAGTATAAACGTTTAATTCAAAAAGCCTATTACATTTAAGGTGCTAAAAGTAAAAAAATACAAAAGAACAAACGTAGAAACAATATTTATGTTTTGATTAAACTTCAACCTTACAAATAAAAGTGGTATACCATAAACTTAGGAATAAACTGAGTATACGCAAAATTTGTACTAATATTTGCTTATACTCAGTTTATTCTTAAGTTTATGGTACACCGCGTTTATTTGTAAGGCTGTAGTTGTGTAACTTTTTAAATGTATTTAAAATTATTAAATGCATTTCATGTCCATTTTCTTGCCAGAATGATGACAGCTTCTTGTCATTTGCATTTATATTTCAGGAGAATTCTTAAATGATTTTTATCACAGAGTACTTTTAAATTTGCATTTAAATTATACATCGTTTAAAAATATATAACTACAGATTGTTAGAATGTTCATCGAACAATAGACAAAATTCTCTTACGTTGTTTTGATTTTTTTTATGAACAAAGTTGCCAACTCAGGGTTCATGTGTTGTCTATTCTTGAATCCAGCGAACGAACGGAAAACGTGACGGCAATTTGGCACTATTTCTGTTTATTTTTTAATTCAATTAGACAATTGGGAAAGTAAACTTCTGTTCTTTTTTTATCACGTATAAACCAACGCTTGACCACTATCCCACCAGAGTGAAGATGTGGTCGAAGGATGGTACGCGTTAGTTTAGTAAGTACCGATACACACTGCTCTTGAAGGCAACCACGTTATAACTTTTTTTATATAATAAAAGGGAACAAGCGAGCGGCGGGAACACCAAGGTGGTCAACGACGCCTCTGGACATCCGCAACACCAGAGGGAACTTATAACTTGACGGGAACACTGACTTAATTATATACTTACATCACTTCTCGATGTTTGTTTTAAACCCTTTTTACTGGGTCTTTGTCTTCGATCTTTCGTCTTGCATAACCTCCATTTACTATGGAAATCTTTTTTTTATTTCTTGTATCTAAACTACTGAACTACTACCTTAATTTTTACCATTCAATTATTAATGAATATTTCCAATAACCGTATCGTTACGTGATAAGACATTTTTATCTCTTTCGTGTAGCGTACCAACTATAATCAATGTCATCGGATATCACGAAATTACGTGCAATAAAAAATATCTTGATAAAAGTATGGCTTGCGGCCAAAATTATGTTAGCGATAGATTGACACGTAATTAAGAATGACGAGCGACCTTTACCTAACGGAAAATTGCTATGCCGTTAAAAATCCTTTATATCGTTACAAGTCCTAGATATCGATGAAGTAAGGTAGAAATTTCCCAATTTTAGTGTGGGCCGAGGTGGTCGCGATTGGATACTCCTATTGTCGACGGCCAAGGCCACTGATCCGTATAAAAGGATAGGTCTTTGATTAGAAATGCGTTTGTTGGTGTTAACGAAAGAGCGACTAATTGTCGCCGCCACGAACGTCAGCGCCAAGATGGAGAAAAATAGGAGGAAAATCCCGAATCTGACGTATCCTGTCCATTTATAAAGATCAGTGGCCAAGGCCCACTTTGGTACTATACTTCAGTCTAATCTATATCTATACTAATATTAGTATGTGTTTGATTCACGTAAAAACTACTGGGCCGATTGTAAAAATTCTTTCACCTTTAGAAAGGTAATTTATCTATGAGTAACATAGGCTATATTTCATTATTACAAATGTTCAGGAACTATTAATAAAAAGCGTATTTCTGGACATCGGCGTTATCTACTTAATGAAGAGATATAAAATTCAAAATATAGCAGCTTGTAGTTCAGAGCCAGGTAGGTTTTGGTCGTCAGTTATCAAGGTTTCCAAGACTCTTTCCAATCCTTTAGTCGTCCTTTGTTAAACTTACAGTCAAGAGTGTATCGATCTTAATTTATGGGATTTAAAACAATATCTATTGCAGTTCCAGTCATCAGGGTATTAGTTGAGACAATACCAGCAAAGGCCATCTTCAGGCTGCATTATTCCTAACCGTCACCCCGCTCTGTCCCCACGTGGAGACAAATGAGAAAAAGTTTCATCCGTCCCATCTTTTGTGATGACGGTTGGAACTTATCTCATATCGGTTCCATCTGTTACTTTATTGGTGATGGTAGGACTAAAAGGTCGGACAGATGAAACTATTTTTTCTCACGTGGGGACAGAGCGGGGTGACGGTTGGAATAATCCTTAAGACTATCAGCTCCGTCTTTAGTGAGAGGAATTTGTTATTAAATTATTTTTATGAGATAATTGAAATATGATAATCTTTCTTGACTATTCCATAATTTTCTGGAGTAATTGTTATAAAACGTCTTAACGTTGCTTAATAATGTTCCATGTGTTAGCTTACTTTACAGATGTTTAACTTAAATGAAATCCATAACATTGTAAGTCATAATGCCAATGAAAACAGAACTTAAATTGAAATTTTAGTTTTTTGCAATACCCTCTTTAACTTCTTGTGACCCAAATAGTTACGAAGGGAGATAACTCAGTTAAAAGGATTACCAAAATAAATCCAATGAATGCTCATTAATGTCTTTTGCAAAAATAAGTTAAAAAATTAAAGGGTAAACGGAACTATATAAAAGGTAAAATAAAAAGGCCAACAGCCGCTCACTCGGCGCCTAACTTATGACTATTCGAGTATCTGCATTGAGCATGGTTTTGTGTTACTAACGGTCTAGAGGCATAACCGGGTGACACTCGTGAGTCGCACACGGACTTCGCAGACCCACATACCGGCTTCTACTTCCAATAAATAAAAAGCCGCCACTTTCAAATCCCAATCATTGTAAAAACTTACCTTCTACAAGTTCATACACATTACACAGATATAAGAAAATCGACTCCAATTCTGCTGTTTCACATATAATTGCACATCCAACGTGTCAGGCACAGGCACAAGAAAATTCACTTAAACTGTTTAACAAAAGAAACGAGACTATAATTGTGCTAGTTGAGCGCGTTCGATCACCGCGGGCGCTCGATCGCGACTGACGTTGCGCAGGCGCTGCCGGTCGATTCTAATTTTATCGACGCAGTAACACGAGATAAAGCCGCTCTTTATTAGAGCTTTTTTATTTGTTTTTGCATCAGTCTAACCGGACAGTATTGTACAGTTTTTTAGATTGCAACCTCTGTGATCGACACCCATCGTAAAAGACTAGTCATCACTCATCGTATCCACTGTTTTAACATTTTTATGACTACCCGCATTTCGTTTTAGTTAGCACATAGAACATACCCATCGAAGAGCTACATGTCTATGATATAACAAATATAATTCTTTACGTGTAAAGGAAAGGTAGACTAAAAAAACTAAAACAACGACTGGAAGATATTCAGTCGGCTTAGAGTTTTTAGAAAATTAAAGCCATGTCTCTTCCCTTCCCGTTCCAGACAGTTCATTAGATTTCAACTTACTGTGGAAATAAGTTTCCTACAAATAGAAATGCTTTGCAGATTAAAAAACGTGTTACAAAGAGAAGGTCTATGTAAAATGCTTTGTTTGTTATAGTGAACTTTAGAGCGTCGTTCGTCGCAAATGTGAAGGTTTTCGTCTTTACTGGTGCAGTTTTAGTGCACTAAAAAGGTTGCGCCTTGAACATTTGTTTTAAAAAACAATAAAGATGTTAAAGTTCACTTATAATGCTGTTAGTTTTTGAGGGATCTTGGGATTTTTTTATGAGAACTATGTTAACAAAGCGTTATTTTAAACCATTTGTATTGTCCGCACAGATTAAATATGGATCACAGAACTAAACGATGTTGAATCACTTCCTTTAAAACAAAGATAATACTGACATTCAATGCTGATTCAGAAACAAGCGCAGGAAAATTTCGTCGGCCGACTGTTTATCGTTTTTAGTCAACGAAGTTATAGTAAAACCCTATTGGTGCTTTATACAAGATAATGACGTCATTTCATTACGAGTAAAAACATTTTGTGTAGTGTATTTAACAGTTTTTTTTTTAAGTTTTTTAAGAACCCAATTCAGTATACCAAGGTATGTAAGATTTATTTATAAAATAGCTTCTATAATTGTTAAAAAAAAAGCAAGTAGCCTATAGGTTCTTCCAGACTGTTCTACATCTATGCCTATTTCATCAAGATCCGTTCAGCCCTTTAGGCTACAAATACTAACAAAACTCCATCCATCTAAACTTTCGCATTTATAATATTAGTTTGAAGTGACATCTTCTCTAATAATCTTCGAAAATTTGTTCAGTTAGTATTTATTGGCTTGTTCTAATTTTAGTTACCACATTGTCCTATTCTTCGATCACGTTTGTTAGCCAAGTGACATTTCATTGCCAAAAAATTCTTAATGGCATTGATATTTTCGTCCCCCGACATCTATTGCTATTGTTTCCAAACATTACATTTATTTGGAGCAAAGTGGTCGGCGCCCAATTGTCAGAGCCAAAACACTAGTTACTTCCCTTGACCTTGATTTTTAGGTGCCAAGTAAGTTTAAAGCTTTTGTTTACATAAGTCCTGTTGGCCCAAATTATAAGCCGATTTACATTTTTAGATTCTTTAGTATTTTAGTTACTTCCCCTATTGTCATATATGCTGGGATCCTGAAGTTTCCATTTATTGTATCGTTACATAATTCATTAGTGTTAGATTGAAATAAGTTTCAATAGAGATAAAACCCAAGTTACATTCGGAAATGCATTTCATGAATTTATCGAACCAAAAACATTAACGAATAGTTAACTCAGAAATCGGCGGTCATTCAATATTCCTATGTATCGAACAAATTTATTGTATAAGCAACTTAGTAAATACTCTTTGCACAGGAGTTTTAGCTCTGGCCTCATACTTAATCTATGGCGTTTCCATGACAACGTAAACAAACATTGTGTTTGACATAGTGATATGTGTTAAATTAAACGCAAAATACAAGATTTTAGAGCTGAAAAGTTCATTTAAGAGTTTAGTTTTTATTTTGGTATAGCGAATTATTACAATTTCAAATATGGATGTAAATATAATGGATAAACTGCGTTTATTAAAAATCGACACTGAATTGCGACCACAAATTAAAATGAAGCCAATGAGTCGATATTATTTCCTTACCTCTACAAATCCTGTTGAGCAATTCTTCGTTTTCGCATCCACTGCCGCCTGGCTCATCCGGAAGACAGGCCACGACTTCGAACAGCCGAATGAAGAAGACGACCCAAATGGAACTATAGCAAGCATGTTAGATGTCCTCCGCGAAAGAGAAATAACTGTAGATTTCTCTTCACACAAACTCAAACAAGGTTATGGAGACCAAGTATGTTATATTCTAAACGTTTTAGCTGACGAGGCGTTAAAAAAAGAAAACTTCGAATGGGAGAAACCCATCGTTGATATCCCTGATAATGAAGAAACCGCTGATGACGTCGATCAAATAGAAGATGAGACTGAAATATTCCTTGATAAAGTCGAAGAAGAGTTGATAGATCATTCCGATGACTCTGGAGACGAGAATAAAGAAGAAAGGGAATCGATGAAATCTGTCACTATTCATGATTGTGAGGAATGGAAATTAGAATTGGAGAGAGTGGCACCAGCTTTAAGATTGAAGATATCAGCCGACGGACGAGATTGGCGAGCGAGGTTAACTCAGATGGAATCTTACAAGAACGAACTATTCGGAAGATTGAAAACGACCGGATCACAATTGAACAAATTACACGGCAACATTAGCTCAGTAATGGATAAAGTTGCTGCACGTGAAAATATATTGAACGAAAAATTTGAACCGCTCGTGAAAGAATACGGTTCACTTTTGAACGAGTTAAAGAAGGCTACAGATGAACATAAAGAAGTGAGCGCTGGTGTTACTGAACGACAGGAGAAATTGAACGAAATCACTGCAAAGGTGGAAAATATTAAGCAGAGAACGGAACAGAGAGGTTCTTCCATGAACGATACTTCACCGTTATTGACTGCTAAAAAAGCTGTAGAAACATTAAAGAAGGACATACAAGAATTGGATTTTCAAATCACTGTTTTATTGTGGCTGTTAATATCGAAAGAAAGTCCTAAAAGTAATAATTTTTTAACTAATACTGAAACTGGAATTTAAAATAAGAAATATTTATAAAGTAAGTCAAATACAAGTACTAACTTATAGAAATAGTCGCCGATTGGTCGACATTCTGATCTGGTTGACTAGCTTTTCTCCGCGACTTTATCTAAGTAAGTAGTGTTCTTTTTTTCCTGGTCTCTGGTTTCTGGTAAGTCGTTTTCCAGATATTTATTACATCTATCCTTACAAATATTATCATTTATATTATTAATAATTATTTACTTATAAATAAAAAATGAAATGGCCTTTTAATTTTTTATAACTTAAATATGTAATACGTTAAAAAAACACAAGTCGCCATAATTCAATATTCTCTTAAAATTAAAATGAAAGACCTTTCTAGAAATGTTTGTAATCTTATAATTTATTGATTGTCCTTAGAATAGTACAAAATCAAGCTGCGTGAACATTTTTGGGGTTGCCAGAGATAACATTTTTCGTTTTAATTACAATGTATTTATTTTTAGATCTGGCTCTGAGCTGGATGACGACACTTAAATTCACAAGCTTTATTGTTATACGATTAGATAGTACTCGTTTGTACCGTAACCGAATGGCAGTTATGGGCTATCACGCGCTGAAGTTAAAAAATACACCTAAGTTCCCTTATTTTCACATTGCTGATTTTCATATGTGTTAAAGATGAATGTAAGAATGAATAAATACTTCGTTTATGTATGAAATAGACGACGATAAACTCGCTGATATGCTTTGGAATGCTTCTCTTACGATGGGCAACTGATCACCATCAAATTAGTGAAAACTATATTTGTTGTCTTCAAATGTCCAACCATATTTTTCATTTAAAAATGGTAATTTTTTTTTTGGTGAGTGTTTCTACATTAACTAGCAATATAGTTTGACGTAATTGCAAGCGTTCAGATTTACACGGTGGTAACTTCGAAGCGTACATTAGAGGAAGTTTGAAAGTAGCGCCAGTGGTGGAGAAATTGAGAAGCAAAAGGTTAGCGTGGTATGGACATATTATGCGACGAAATGATGGGGACATAAACCAGAAAGTGTTGAGATTGAATGTGGATGGCTACAAAGGAAGAGGAAGACCGAAGAAAGTATGGATGGATTGTGTGAAGGAAGATATGCTTAAGAAAGGAGTGGATTCAGATATGACGGCTGATAGAGATGTATGGAAGAGCAGCACATACTGTGCCGACGCCCCATAAGGGATAAGGGCAAGTGGATGATGAACTTCGAAGCGTCCAAGTTCCTTAATTTCGTTTTATTAATTTTTTCAATGACGCTAGAAATTTATGTGTTAGTAAAAATCTTGACTCTTGCTCTATTTATTTCAAATACGCTAGGGATATTATAAATTTTGGACAACTATGTCCAGACTACGTCGACAATTATGATGTATCTTGGGATAGAATTGTATTTGGGTCGGATAGACTCTCTAAAGGAGACGACAGGGTTCAGAAAAGTTCCCCAAAGTGGATACTTGCAGGACTTTTCTGATTGTTTCGCGTATTTGTTGGTCTTGATGCACTCTTGGTTGATTCACTCCGATCTCACTGCCTTCTTATAAGCATGCGTGTAATGCTCCACTCGAAAGTTCGAATTCCTAACCAAAACGTTCCAAAAGACGAAGAAAGAGCGGAGGATGAATGAAGAGAAAGGGTCGAAGGTCGGTTGGGATAATAAATATAAGGAACACGGTGACGATATACCGACCAACCATATTTTTATTGCCAAAATAAAATTACAATATATTGTTTTTTTTTTTAATATTTCGTGCGTTTTTTCCTTTTTAAATATTGATAGATAATCACAACTAGTGAATGCGTAAAATGCTGATAAACTAAGAGACAAAGTGGGCCCTACTTACAGCATTGGCGCAGCGACCCAAAGTGGTTTTTAAATGGGCCCTAAGTGTTTATAAATTTTGGATATATTAAGGTACCTCATATTACTTTCAATGCCAATTAACATCCAGACTTGGGACGCACTGTTTCATATGACTCAAGTTAGTAATTTAATTAGCATTCCTAGGGCCTTATAAAATATGCGATGGTGATATCGGATTTTGTTCCCTTATCTGATAGTGATGTTTTTAGGCTATCCGAGCCTCTATCAGCCATTTTTGGGACAGGTCCTTAATCTCCTTGGGTCTGACTAGTCGGTGCCGTCACCGGAGACTAAAACGTGATTTGATCCGTCTTTACATTTCGGTTAACATTCCTTAGTAGTAAAATATCACGGTTTATTCCAGTCTGTCCCTGTTTAGAGTTCAGTGTGGTCATCCTTAGTCATTCTTACAATGTTCTTTAACACATGTGAAATTCAGGAAGACCAACTTTAGTCCATTTTCTTTCCCATCCATTTCATTATAAGAAAATGATGAGATGGGAATATGGATTTGACGGTGGAGACGCATAGGAAGGGGAAACATCCTGTTTATGTGTGTCTCCCCCTTCGTCGTTTGAGGGTAGGCAACGCATCCGTTATTACGAGTAGCCGCTTGTTTGCTTGTTGGTAAAAAAAGTAAACTTATGTATATTTTTTAACAACTTCAGCGCGTGATAGCCCGCAACTGCCCCATTGGACAGGATAACTAAAGGCCATTCGGTTACATCACAAACAAGTACTATCGTATAACAATAAAACTTGTGAATTTAAGTGTCGTCATCTAACTCTGAGAGTAAATTCTATGTGAAAAAGACACATAGGACAGGATAAATGTTGAAATCTCTAATTGTGAGTATTCAAATAATTTATTTATCCAATTGTATTCTTTTTATCTTGCATATTTTTATTAAATAATTGTAATTACGTAACATCTTAAAATTAAAAAATCAAAAAATAATACTTTGGTAATTGTAGGAAAGATTGTAAAAGCTACGTGAGTTACATTGTAATTATTTATATATATTGTATTTTACATTATTTTAAATATAACATCTAAAATGTTTGAAATACAATCGTTGTAAAAATTAAACTCAAATTATAAAATATGTTTTAAAATGAGAATTGATTTTTTGTAAGACATTGTAAAATATGACAAACTAGTATTTAAAAAATAAAAAAAGGAGTACATTATAAAGAGATCTAATTTTTTTTTGTTATAACATTTTCAGTGATTATTAAAAAAGCAAAATAAAAAAAAACTCAAAGCTGTCAAGCTATTAAAATTTTTTTTTCAATGAAATGTAAAACTACAAGATTCTCTTTCATAAAGTAAATTAATTATTAACAATAGGTCTTTCCTCGATTTTATTTTTTTTTAATTTAATTCATTCAACACAATTATTATAATAATCTAATGATTTTTTGTTTTTTTAAACATTTTTTTCTGTACTATCAGCTCAAGTTTGTCTTTTTTTTATTGAAAACTATCCTTCAAGCCTATGATTTAAGCTGGGTAAGTAGAAACGTAACATTGATAAAAATACTTATGTTAAATAATTGAGTACATTTACAACAAAAATTAAATATAAAAAAATATACTCTTTATGTAAAGCCACTTTCATTGTTCTTATAATTATTAAAGCCCGCTATAAACGTTCAGTTTTAACTGGAAAGTCGAAGAGTGCATTTTGTTGTGACTGAAAGGCCACTGTTTGCCTTGAAGGGGCATTTACAGATTCACCGGGCTTGAGGTGGCCGAGCGCATGACGCTTAGCCTGAACCTCGTTTATAAAAAGAGTGCAGTTAAAAAAAATGGATAAAAAAACAATTTATGTCTCAGTTTAGCTAAATTGTGAACAAAACTGTGAACTATACAACTGTCTGTACAATAGGTAATATGCATATGACGCCAAATTGTACCAAACTTTTTTTAAGTATACTTTATTACTATAAAAAACATTCCTGCAAAGATTTTTTTAAATTTAATGTGATTTAGTGGCCAAATTTAATCATTAAAAAGTGTATTTTTTCAAATTCCCTCGCTAAGTTCTAAAACGCACATTATTGGTCGAAGCAAGCTTATCTAATATGGTTAACAAAACTGTGAACTATACAACTGTATACACTTGTACAGTGTACATTTGACAGTTTTGATTACAAACTCATTTAAAACTGAACGTGTATAGAAGGCTTTATATACTTATTTTAATATTATGACAATTTTTTTTCATTACAAAGATGAAAATTTTTAACCTACCTAAGTGGAAAGTAAGCAAGTTAAATATGAAGATAAATGACATTATTAAGTAATAAATAGTAAAAAGTGAGATAATAATAATAATAATAATAATAATAATAATAATATGTTGCTTGAGTCATCGGATTCCGCAGCCGGTGGACTTCTATTTTTTCATATAATATGTTTTATTTTGTTATTTTTTTAAGAAAATCATGTGAAATGTATTATATATAAAAATAAGAGAATAAAGATATGTGATAATAATAATAATAATTGGATTCTGCAGCCGGTGGAGTTCTATTTTTTATATATATTTTTTGTTATAAAAAATCGTGTAAAATATATTACATATAAAAATAAGAAATCAAAGATATGAGAAAATAATAATAATAATAAAGAAATAAATTTCTTTAATAATATTGGATAGAAATAGAAATAATTTTATTAAAAAATAAAAAATTAACAATTACAATAACAGTTATACCAATTAAAAGATTAAAAAATTATGACAAATTAATAAATTAATAATTAATAAAGACAAATTATGGTTGATATACGATTAATCTGGTGATAAGATGAGATTTATCTGTATTTTCTTCCTTTAAATAAATACCATAAAAATTATTTATTTTCAATTATGTATAAATATCATATTTGTTGGAAAAATTGTTTTTATAGACACATTTTTATTTTTACTAATATGAATATAGCAGATAAATGAAATATAATGAATTTTAATGTTATCGGGCTGTAAAGTATTTTTTCCGAGACCATAAAAGTATATTTTAATAATAATAATAATTATTAATAATTGATACTTACATTTCGTGTGAAAACTTAATTTCTTGATACTTTAGTATTGTACAGCTGTTATTTTTTGTCTTTTTGGTTTAATAGACTCTTAGCTTGTCCCAAATAAATAGATTCTTGCTTCGATGGTTCTTCGAATGTTACATTGTACTTCCTTTTGAGATCGTCCATAAATTCTTGTTTCAGTATTGCTAAACATCTGGAAATTGTTATAAAAATAATTTATTCACTCAATTCTATTCAATCTATAAATTAAAAAATGATGTACAAATTAAATAATAATATAAAATGAAATTTATATTAACAAAAAAAAAACTTTCCTCTTTCTCTCTCCTTTGTCTCTTTCCCATATTAGAGGTTTTATCCAAAATGTTTACCCCCTAAGTTTAATGTGAAAATATATAGCCTAAAGCGTGACGAAGTGTAGGGCTTTTTGTTACAAAAAAATAATCAAAACAAGCTGTAATTGCTGACATTTATTATAATAGTATAGACTAAAAAGTATACATAAACGTTTATTTAGGTTAAAACAGCAATAACTTACATACGATAGTGCGGGTCCGCGCGGAACGCTGTGATATCGTAGGAAGGTGCGTGCGGCGTGTGCACTACGAACGCGCCGGGGAGTACCACGGCCTGGTAACCCTGTGCTCGGAGCTCTACACTATGAGATACCTGGTAATAAACAAAAAGACATCAAAAAAAATAAAAAAAATAGAAAAAAAATCTTCGATTCCACAAAAAAAATTTTTTTTTGCAAAAAAAATTGATTAATAATGATTTTGTCTTTAAAATCGATTTTAAATTCACAATCACAGTATATTTATGAATAATTATTATCCTATTATACGCTCTATGTTAATATTTACTTGCTAAAGGCTATGTATTTTCACGCAATCAAAGTGAGTCAATTTGAAACAAAACGTCATGCGGGAAAGGGACAAAAAGTACAAGTAAACATCAAAGCAAGGTTGCCATGGTAACGGTCATTGTTATCCAATCAAAGGCCTACATAATCATTTGTGAATTTCACAAATGTAAACAATAAAATACAGTTTTCGTATGCAGGAACAGCTAGTGCTAAAATATATTTACTTTATTCCAACCGAATCCGGAGAATCGTGTATCGTATTTGGGAACCGAACGATGAACTACCAAGTACGGTTCGTAATCCGACTGCCATTCCACCTGGAACATAAAACAAGAAATTAAAAAAAAATATTCTCATCTCTCAACATGACATTTGACATTCTGCAAAACTTTCAATTGGTAATTTCAAAATTCAAATGCAAAAATCACTATAAAGGCATTTGACATTGGCTAACAATAGGGAATATGCACATATTTTTTATCTTTTTTTAAAAGGTTTCTACTTGTTTTATAACAATCAACAACAAATCTTATGATAACCAGAAAAAATATTGATATTTATTAATTAAAAAATGAAATTATGATCATTTACGTACAGCTAAAATGCGACTGGAGTTAGCTTGAGGCACGTGACGTCAATCGTCCCATTTCATTCAATTCATTCATCACATAGGCTCAGATGTGAAAAACAACAAAGTATCTCATTGCTTCTCAGAGTTATTAAAAAAAAAACCGATTCATTTTCATTACTCAAGGTACAAATAAGCGCTAAGTAATGATTCTCTTAGTTTTTTTTTCAATTGAAAGTTAGTTTTGATATCGTGTTTACGGTAAATTACTTCAAGAGTGATTTTCTATATAAACTAACATAAATGAACTGTGTATTGTCAACACAGCGACGCCATATTAGATAAGTAACTTGCTTCGACCAATAGCGTTGCGTTTGAAAACTTAGTAAGGGAATTTTAAAAAAGACTATTTTATTAAAAAAAAATCTTTACAGCTATGTTTTTATAGTAATAAAGAAGTTTGGTTCAATTTAGCGTGACTTGGGACTGACATGTTCTAAGGAACCAAAGTCCCTTTAAAAAATAAGAAAGAAAAATGGCGTGATATGCATATTGCCTTTTGTCAGATACAAATGTAAATAAAACAGTTTTTATTAGGTGTTACTTACATTATAAGGTGCATTAGCGGTGATCCATTTAGTGTAATTAGTGGGGCGGTGTCCGCGCGGCCACTCGCGCGCGCGGAACGGGGCGACGTCAGTAGCGAGGCGGGCACGCAGCGCGGCCTTGCTGCGCGGCGGCGACGCGCGGTACCGTTGCGTCTCGAACGCCGCCACTACCAGACACTACAAAGTTCTTTTATTTACTAGCTTTCGAATTTAAAAAAAAAACAAAAGTATTGTTTGGAACAAAATTAGTACCGTGCTGTAGAATTGGCGCAACTCTAGATTATCGACATAAACGTCACTGACAGCTGACAGCTGTCAATGTCACTAGAAGTATGGTTAGATTGGCGCGCAACCTGATTCCTAACGAGAAGTGTTGCTCTGAGTTTAAAGCGATTAAATTCAATTTTTAAGTTTGATTTCTTTCATTGGTTATTTTGTTTGTTTTTGTTATTACAAGAAATAATTTAGCATATTGTATTTAGTAAAGTATAGTGTACCAAATAGATTAAGGGTGTGATCTTTCGCCAATAAACTGTTTTTGTCAGTTTGGCGAAATTATTTATATGTAGAATTTGTATGTACTTATTAAGCAAATAAATAAAAAAAAATAATAAGTTTTCTAAAAGTATATAAGTGTGTGTAGCTTGTGTTCTTCCAGACTGAACTACATCTATGCCAAATTCAAAAGAAAATCATAAAGATCCGTTAGCTGTTTAGACTACAATCTAACAAACATCCATCTAAACTTTCGCATTTATAACAATACTAGCTGTTCCCGTGCTTTATCGTCATGAAATTATCAAAATTTTATTAACATTGACAGTAAATGTCAAAATGACATGACCTTGGCAACCTTGCTTCCTTGATGGCAGCAACTTATGGTCTCTTTCCCACATTAGGGTTTTTTTATCCAAAATATTTACCTCCTAAGTTTAATGGCGTGAAAATATATAGCCTAAAGCGTGAAGTAAATGTAGGACTTTTTATTAAAGAAAGAATTATTCAAAAATATGCTGTAATTGCTGACATCTAAGGCAACAAAGAAGTGTGTGTTTACGCTTTATTATTATAGTATAGATAGATTAAGATAGTAAGAATATTCCTCTATTATCTAAAAGGGCTTATCCGACTCGAAGGACCAAAATTCCTTATATTATTCGAAATTAGATTGAAGATTACTTCAAATATAGATCAATTGCAATAGTAACTCGTATATACTTATACGTATTTACCTTTTTCTGTGCATAGGGGTTGATTATTTTGACAGCATCCCTTAAGTGGTCATATAATCCTGCCATTGGTACAAAATCAACATCCATTAGGAATACATAAGGCGTATTTACGTTCTCCAGAGCTACGTTACGGAGATAATTCACTGGATAGTGCACCTGGAATGATAAAAAAATACGAAATTTTATAGACTAAGATCCCAACACAGACTTACATCATTTTAGCAAAGTTAGTATCAGAGACTATTTATTTAACTACTATATAATTTATAACATGGCTAAACCCACCTGGCAACTTTCGGTGTAGGCAACTAATAGTTTCAGACCCGTCTGGGGTCACCCTGAAGAAGGACCCCAGACAGGTCTGATACTGGTAGGTTTAGCTGTGTTATAAATTATATAGTATAATGTCTCACGAAAATTTTAATAAGTTAATTATTTAATTAAATGTCGGTAAAGTGAAGTTTTAGAGTAGATCAATTGCAGATGTCTATGTGTATAACTCGCACCACATTTATTACATATATTTTAATGTCTCAAGTCCCTAGTTTGTATAGCAACGTGTAAGTATCCGTTCCAAAGAAAAAAAAAGTAAACTCTCTCAGTGGGTCTGAGAATGTCAAGGGTTCTCACAAACCAAAAGGTTTATGAATCTAAAGTAAAAGATGAATGAAAACAATATATTTGAAATAAAAAAAATATGGATTGTTTTTGTTTCGCTATTTCGGCGAATTCAGGTAGCCGCATACTCGTTTAAAATTTTATGATATTAAAAAGGAGATTAAAATTAGTTGGACATCGTCCCTTAAACAAACTAGCTTTTTTAAAATGGTGTTAATCTGGTAGATGTGGGGTGTCGAATGTAAATCGATAAATTTACTTTTTTTATTATTACCGAGTTGTTGCCCGCGACTTCGTCCGCGTGGTAATAGAAAACATACGAATTATATGAATTACAAAAAGCTACGTATCCCTCGGGAACCGGACATTTCTCGGGGATGAAGCTTATCCCACGTGTACTCCAGACTTTGTTTTATATCTGTGCCAAACTTCAATAAGATATGTTGAACCGTTGCAGAACGATCGAGTAAACATTAAAAAACTAAATTAACGAATCCCACGGGAACCGTAACTATTCCCGGGATAAAAAGTAGCCTATGTGTTCTTCCAGACTATGCTCTAAACCTGTGCCAAATTTCATGGAGATCCGTTCAGCCGTTTAGGCTACAAACGCTAACAAACATCCATCCATCCATCTATACTTTCGCATTTATAATATTAGTAAGAAGTAAGATAGTTTCAAATACTTACGGAATCGTGTTTAAACACTAAATGATATCCTATATTCTTCCTGCTGCTGAGCGTGTCAGACCAGTCTCGGATGAAGCTCTGGAACTTCGTCAGCTCGCAGTCTGACAGATAGATGGCAGCACTTAGCGGACCTTAAAAGTAATGCAAATGTTAATTAAAATAAAAAAAAAGTCTAAAAAGGCAATACATTGCGAGCTAAAGAATATTTTATTAAAAAGAAAACTTGATCTCTGTTTCAAATTTCATCGACATTCGTTAAGCAGTTTTGAAGATAGTAACAAACATCCATCCATACAAAGTTTTGTTACTATTAGTATACAATATTGTAGCGGGAAAATAATGTAATAAGAAAATATTTTACCTAAAAATATACTAATAACATGAAATACTAATTATTACTCGTGACTTCGTCCGCATGTGAAAAAAAAGCTTTAATGGAGAAATATTTTTTGAAATCGGCCCAGAAGTTTTACAATACATACAAAAATACAATTTTTTCCTCTTTATAACATTAAGTATAGATAACATTTAAAGGTGTAGCGTAAAAAGTGCTATGTGAATTAAAAAAAAAATAAAAATTTTCATTACCTTCCCAATATTTAACTAATCGCTCTAGGAACTGCAATCTATCCATAGACAACTGTAATACTAGAGTGACGTCAAAATTGTCTATATCAGCGTAAGTGTACTCCATATAGTACAAATGTGTACGCAACTTGACCCTTTGCGCCGCGCGGAAACTGCTGCATAAATCTGAATGATTTATCTGGAATATATATATAAAAATTAATAATACACACCACACATTGTATAAAAAAATTATAGCTGAGCTTGCAGTAACAAAAATACAAACTAATTTTCTCTTTTTGATAGTCGGTTATAAAAAATATTTGCTATAAACTTTATGGGCGCCAAGCCAAGGGAGGGGAAAGGGGGGGGGAGGAGGAGAAGAGTGAGCAAGATTCCTTCTTAGTTGGGGGGAAAAATTGGAGAAGAATGGACAAGAGGGGAGAAGGGTGCGAAAAGATTCCTTCATAGCGGGAGGCAAGATGGAAAAAGAATTAACAAGAGGAGAGTAGGGTGGGCAAGAATTCTTCCTTAGTGGGGAGGGGCAAGATGGGAAAAGAGTGGGCAAGGATCCTCCTTAGTCTTTAGGGGAAAATGGAAGAAGAGTGGGCAATTTTTTTATTAAAATATGGTTACCTTATATGTGACTGGTTCAGTTTGGGAGCATGTATGTAGTTTTTGTCTTAGTAGATTTCCATCAAAATTAACATAGGATAAGTGAATATTTTTGAAATAATCAGCATCTCTTATCCTAATATTGTATTTACTCGGAGAGTTCCAATGTATTATCTGAAAATAATAAATTATTTTATAAAATAAGGTAAAAAACAAGTAATAAAGCAATAAAATCTAAAATTGTATCGGAACATGGCGGGATTCCAAATCTATAGACTACAATTCAAGCGCTTAAACCTTTCAGCCACCGATTAAAAGTTGAGTAAAAGATTTCAGTCTGATGACGTCACAGTACACAAAATGGTTCATATTGTAAAGTGAAAAATGGCAATAAACGTTCAGCGAGATTCGTTCAGTTATTTAAGAGATATTTTCAAACATCCATCTATCTAAACATTTTTTATCATAAGGTGGCAAACGAGCAATCAGCCACTTGAATTCGCCAAACTGTCGAAGCGACTGCTACCTATAGACATTCGCAATAGCGGATGCGTTGCCTACCCTTAGTCGACGGAGGAGGAGACGCACATTAAGAGAATATTTCCCGATCCCATGCGTCTCCAATCCACCGTTAAATCCACGTTCCCTTCCCAAAAAGGGTTTTAGGCATTTTTTTTTTATTATATAGGAAAACTAGACATGTTAGATTTCGCAAATGAACAATGTAAATAATATGATAATCGCTAAGAGAACATGAATAAGAAAAACAATGAATAATGAGAAAAATGAAAACAATATTAAAAATAGTAAAAATCTTAGAAGTAAGTGTAATATAAGTGGCTTAAGTTACTTACAATGTTAGCAAGCTCAGTGTTAAACAAATCTATATAAGGATTTTGCCTTGATAATGAATTAAATTGTCTGGCCGCTCTGCAACCAGAGCTATCTCTTTATAAAATTAATAAAATTACCTTAACATTATCTCTATCTTCACCGTAGCAGCCTTTAGCTAAAGTCTTTGTGGACATTTGTACATTATACTGACAGCTAACATTATACACCAGCTTTGTGTCCTTTTTAATAATTGCATTTATAACATCTTGATCCGCTAAAGTTGTTTGCTTCAATCTCTCTATATTTTCATTAACCGCACTATGCCATACTTTCGTCCAATTTATTTTATTACGTATCTTATTTAAATCTAGCAACATCACACCTGTATTATAACCTCTACCGAGTGCTGGCCATCTTTTATCAGTATCATAATACCAGTTGCTTTCATTTTCAACTAAACCAAACAACTGGAATAAGAAAACTATAAAAAAATAATCAATCACGATTATTTTTAATTTAATAAATAACTAACCTTATTATAGGATATAAAGTTAGTAGTACAAATAATATGACAGTATTTTATTGAGATAGATTAAGGGTCTGTCCCACCACTGGCTGATAGAGGCTCAGATAGCTTTAAAATGATATCACTGTTAGATAAGGTAACAAAATTCAATATTTCCATCACATATTTCTACATGTTGGATTATTATCAGACTATTTACAATTTGGTGGGACAGGCCATTATAATCGAAATCAAGAAAACAAACTTATCTAACCAAATTAGACTTTATGTCAAGACAATAAAGTGTTAAAATATGAATAACTAGTCTCCCCTCGACTTCGTACGCGTTGGATTTTAAAAAACAAAACATAGTATTCAAGATCTGTACCAAATTTCATAGATATCCATCCAACCTCTGACACATCCATCCATCTAAAATTTCGAAATTATCACATTACTAGCTTTCGCCCGCGACTCGGTCCGCGTGGAATTAAGAATAAACAGAAGTGAGTAGCCTTTGTGTTCTTCCAGACTATTCTCTACATCTATACCAAATTTCATCGGAACCCGTTGAGCCATTTAGGTTACAAACTCTAACAAACATCTATCCATCTTTTCACATTTATAATATAAAGTATGATATGATTATTACCTGATTATCAGTCATATTTCTAAACATATTCCACAGTTCAGCGATATCACAGAGAAACGTCAAATCCGAATCCAACACAATAACTTGCTGTAGACTCTCTGGTAATATATCTGGAAATAACAGCTTCACTAACGCGTAGATTCCTGAATAATGACTATTCGGTACCCAACGGACTTGAGATAAACGATTCTGGGCATTGTAACATGTATATTTAACTGAAAAATATAATAAGGTCTATTACAAGGGTTAAAATAAATAGTAATTTATGCAACATGCATATGAAAAAGTAATAAAAATCATCAATCAACTTTTTTCCTTAGAATTTAAGTTTATATTAGATTTTTTATGCTGATATATGTTAAACTACAGTATTCTGTACAATTCTACATTGATTATATGAAACTTAAAAAGAAATGTAAAAAACGACATGCCAAATAATTTCTTAATGATTCTGTTCTAAAATCCATTTTACAACTTTTAAATTTTCACACATATATATCCTCGGCAGCAAGATGTCTAGATTAATCTAGTTTTATTTAATATTAACTAGCTTTCACCCGCGACTCTGTCCACATGGCATTAAAAAAACAAAAGTAAGTAGCCTATGTGTTCTTTCAGATTATCCTCTGCGTTTATGCCAAATTACATCGAGATCTGTTCAGCCATTTAGGTTACAAACTAACAAACATCCATCCATCTAAACTTTCGCATTTATAATATTATTAAGAAGTAATATGTATGTATATAAAGTTAAGTTATATAAAGTTGATCTCAAAATGTGTTAATTAAATAAGTAATTATTAATATAATATTCATTAGATATGGGTTTCTTACCATGATTGGTTTGTTTTAGCTCTTTTTTTTAACTCATATCTTAGGGACATTATACTTGTAAAAACCACTACAGTTTAAAGGTATTTATAAATAATTATTCTTGTTTAAATAGTTTACATACCATCAGGTAAATCCCATGTATCAAATAATTTGGATATTGTTTGTTTCGCTGCCATGTCAACTATGAAATGAAAATGTATTGGATTCTGCCGATGTTGCAGAAGTGATTTGAGCATTGGCATTATAATGCGAGTACATTTGCCCATACAGACCAATGCTATATGTATTGTCTCACAGAGAGTTCCAGCTTCATCTGGAATCTGAAAAAAATAAAAAAAATATTATATGATATATACTCATACTTATTTGTTATTTATAATGTGAGAAGCATATTTTTGAATAATTCTTTTTTTAATAAAAAGCCCCACACTTGTGTCATATTATAGGCTATATAAGCTCACTATATATTTTTTAGAGGGTGAATAAATTAAAAATAGTTGATAATCAAGAAAGGGACAAAAACTACAAGCCAATAGCAGCAAAGAAATAGGATTGCCATGATAAAGGTAATTGTTAACCAAAAGCAATGGTTTTATTGCAAAATTAATTGATTGTAAAAAAAAAAGTTTATAAAACATAATATGGAAGAAGCTGCATGGGAACTTAGTATTATAACTAAAATCCTGATTAATTTAGATTGAGCCATCTAACCTCTTTTGTTAACAAGAAGTTTTTATAAACATTGTACTGGCCATTTAGGACTTTGTTCTCTTCATTGAAAAAAAAAAGATGTAATGGCACAGAAAAAGAAAACTAGAAGTGAGAGAACTATATTTAAAATGATATAATATTGGTTTTCTTACCTCAGGAACTTTGTAAGTAATATCAGATTCTATTTGTCTCATTACATTTTGTGATAATTTTAATTGTGACTTGAACACTTTATTTTGTGTTTCTAACACATTGATACGAGATATAAGCCACCAGTAATAAACAATTGACACAATAATCCATGTTCCTAATGGTAAACCAAATGACGATCGAAATAATAATGATAAAACATTCTTTGTCCTTAAATTCATTTTTTAAATCTGCATCCTGCGGTAAAGGTTATAGTTATAGTTGGTGTATTATATTGAAGGTTATAGTTGATTTATGATTAACTTGTACTGTTATTATTATGTTGGGCTCTGAAACACAATGTTTTGATGCTATAATATCATGGAAATGTTGAAAAAAAGTCTTGCATAATATTATTGTTTTTTTTTTTAAATAACTTTGCTTTAATTTAATTTAAATGTATATATGACAACCTATAACTAAATGAAGTTGATAAATAAGATAATTTCTTTGTAATAAGTGTGGAATACATATTTACAAAGTTTAATTCGTATATAATGTATTTTACTTACAACTGAGATTATGTACAATCATATTTAATCAGTTGAAACACGATTTTTCAATATATCCATATAATAAATTGTACAAGTAATAAATTAAATTATTATTAAAGCACAGTTAAAGCTTTCAAATACAAAACAAATTGATAATTGACAAATGCCAAATTCTGTCAAAGTCAATGTCAGAATTCGTCCAAAAATGTTGCTGTTTTGTTGCATAATTTTTTATATTCGATGGACTTGTAATTTAGAGGTACAAACAGTATCATATTTTCTTTTTCAAAGTAAATAAAATGCTTTGCTTATTGGCACTTTATTTAAATGAAACTGACCTATCTTAATTGGAAAGACTTATTTGCGTGGTATTTTGTGGCCATTTGACTTTCATCTTTACGGAGCTTACGGTTACGATTTGTTACTAAGCTCCCCTATGTAATTTGGGGACACTCAAAACTAAAGACTCAAAACAGTCCCAAATTGAGGTTTAGTAATTGATAGCAATTTGGTTTAGCCAGCACACAAAATGATTAAATAAATAAAGTTTGTTATTTATTCTCATTTAAATTATTAATACAATTGTGTATAAAAACAAGATATTATTTTTATACTATTCAAAACATGTTCTTCTCTCTATTTTCGAACAACTCACTTAAATTAACATATGTCATTATTCAAATAATAGTATACAGCCAGTCTTACACTGCAAAACAGAAAATAGGTTTCATTTACAACACTCCTCCTCAATGTAAGACTGCTCTAAATATTTTAAACATGACCTCAATATTCAAACACACAGATTTAGTTCTCTCACACAAAACTCATTCTTACATCGCGGCAGAGCTTTCGTCAGAATATCATCTCTTCATTACTGAAGAGATCTGTCTTACGACAGTCATCTCTTCAGTCTGCAGATACTCCACCTTTACAATGTTATTACTGATAGCTTCTCTAGCACGATCAGCATCTACATGTCCAGTCTCATCTCTTCCAGACTTTTCAAAATTCAGCTTGTAGTGTACCCTTCAGGTATCTCAACAATCTCTGCTCTACTTCCCCAGTGTTTACTGCAAGGTATATAAAATAATATATTACTTTTTGACAAAGTATCTCTTTTAATGGAATGAAGTCCGCTTCTTTGGCTTTTTCCAGTTGTCTTCCAAAAATCTCAAAGTCCCGCGTCTTATTACAGGTGAAAACGTCTCTTTATAGTCTAAGTCATACCTCTGTGTAAATCCAGGTGCTACTAGTCTAGCTTTATATCTCTCTTTCCCCCCTTTTTCCTTTTTAATTTTAAAAATCCATTTAGAGTACTACATTCAAATTAACAAGGGAATTATCAAGCTTGACTAGACTCCAGGTGTCTTTTTTCCTCAATGCACTTAGCTCAGCAGCAATGGCTTCTTGCCATTTATCCTTATCTTCTCCACTTAAGGCTTCTTCTACAGTGCGAGGCTCATTATTGAATCATCAGGACTTACCCAGAATTACCCAGAACTGCCCAGGACAGGTTCACAGTCGTAAGTTTTTTTGGAGCCAGATAGGAGCACATTAAATTAATATTTGAAGAATACAACATAATGAGTAAAAGCACTAGCAATAAACCGAGTATGAGCAGTATGAGCACTAACAGCAGTCTTCCAGCATTTGGAAAATTAGAAGGATCGTCTAACTATTCCACGTGGAAATTTCTTGGAATTTTCTTCTCTCTATTTTCGAACAACTCACTTAAATTAACATATGTCATTATTCAAATAATAGTATACAGCCAGTCTTACACTGCAAAACATAAAATAGGTCTCATTTACAACAGTAATATTGCTGCGTAATGAAATTACGGAGGAATATATAATTTTAATAAAATTACATCTGTAGATATTCACATGTAGGAAATAAAAGTCGACTCATTATAACTCGTATTATTTAATTAAAAAATAAAAACAAACATAAGTTACTGTAATAAAGAACGTTTCATTACATAGAAATATAATATTATCAATACAAAAATATATAGAACATCTGCCTAATTTGGTATTGCAAAAATTACACATTTTATAATCTAATACTTAATGATTATTGTATATTCATTTCATTTAAAATTCTCAATAAATTGTCATGAAATATTTTATTGACATACGATTCTAAATCAACGGAAAAAGTACGTTAAAAATTAATTTTTGACCTAAAACAGATTTGTGTACTTTTTTATTAGAGGTGGGATCGTTCATTAAATAAAAAAAAATCAAAATTGTAAACCTAAATGTAAAGCTAATAATTTTAAACACAATTATAAGAATACGAAATTAAATTCTTTATAAAAGATTAAGTAGTTACTCACAATTTTTAAATGTTTTTTTTTTCAGACAGTTACAATCTAAACCTAAGATTATAAACTCATATTACCCTTATTAGTAATTATTTAATGTCTAACTGCAACACACAGTCGTTAATTGGTAACCAAAGAAGTCACTTAAAGTATGATAAACCAATAAACTTGGACTGTAGCTATAAAAGGAGGTTTTAATTAATTTCTGTTTCACCGGTCCACTGTCGCGGTTGACTTTGCTGTGGTTGTTCTTGGTAAGACTGACCATAAGCGTATGTTGGTTGTTCATCATCAACAACTTTGACAGCTTCTGTCGGCTCTGGTGTATCTTCTGTGGTGTCCTTCTTGTAAGGGATACTTTCGTCGTCGGAATTCACTTTGAAAGAGTCATCGGGGTCGATCGGACGTGTTCTGGAAATTAGTGGACAATTAATTTCAAAGTATACAGAAATTTAGCAACTTGTATTGGCTAATTGTCATTATATGCGTGGTCGTTGATTGAAATTTTGACATTTAATTAATTTTAAAGGAATTTAAGTTTCTACACTTTAAAAGGGATCGTTTAAAAGCGAAATTTTCCTGTTATACTCACTTCACGTTTAGATAATCATTTTCGTCCTTGTCATCTTCCTTCCTTCTCTTAAGGATGCGCCAGCCAACGCAAATGAGCAGGATGACTATAGGCACCATGACTGCGCTGATGATGCCCCACGTTGCTCCCAGAGTTCTCGCGGAGTATTCTTGTCGGCCTGTTATATGATTAACCATAATATAAACTTTGTAGCTACTTATAGACAATTAACAAAGAAAAAAAAGGAATTTTATTTATTCATTAACTTTGGTTTCAAAGATTCAATGCTATTAAGTCACAATATCATTTAAAAAATATGAAAATAAATTTCCTCTTTGTAGGTTACTCTCGGTACTATATCAAATAAAATTTAGGTACTCACCTATTCAATGCTGTGACCCTAATTCTTTTGTATGAACAAGGCGATAAGAAAGCAAGCAAATAACCTCGACATAGATAAAGGGATAAAAGAAACATCATCACTATAGAGAAAATTTCTATTCCACGAAATTGTCCGCATTATTTCTTGCTTTCTTACGCGTTTACAAATGAAATGCATTACATCACGGGCAAGTTATTCTACCATACGTCGGAACAGAAATTTCCTCTTGCTGTGTTTTTAATTAAAATGTATTCTATAATCTTTATTTAATTTACATCTAATTAATTTTATAACAATTAAATAAAACTATTGTTATTTTATAACAACAATGGGAACACTTCACAGACACATCTAATGAATATATTTTCTACGACACTCAATTATACTTATGTAACTTAAGATCGAGGACATAAGTTATTAATTTGTGAATTGTCAAAACGTAGGCAGTGCTTATTACTATTAGTTGTTCAGTGGGATACGTCAAGAATACAATGGAAATAAATACTAAACCATAGTCGATCGACTACTAAATGTAGGGGCTTCTGTTGCTGGTGGGTCGATCAAAGTCTCAACAGACTTGCCTCTTTGTGGAGGCATCGTGAAAGTTTTTATTTCAGTTGGAGGAGCACTTTTAGGTGCTTCTGGTAAACCGGGATTGTTATAAGTGTTTCTAGGACTAACATCCGAAGTAGGACTTATCGGTGGAGAGTAGATTTCAGAGTAAGTGGGAGAATACTGGGATGGGATAGGACTATATTGGTCCTCGTATTTGGGCGCGTATGGGTCTTCAGAATCTTTTGTGGAGTAACCAGAGTCACTGGGAAGCGCATTACGTCCAGTCTGACGTGGTTTACTAACGTACTCGATGTCTTTGGCTGGTCGAGTTAACGTCGATTCACGATTGGACTCGGAATCTGACGGAGAAGTAATAGAAAGCAAGTCTTCTTCAGATAGATCCCAAAGTTTTTCGGGAAATTCGACATCAGGTGCGTTCGGTAAAGGCTCATTGGTACGGTAAGTTTTATCGTAGGCCCGACGTTTCTTTGGTAAGGTGGATTTGTCTGATTTTCCGGAATCACTTTTGTTAGAATCTGTATACCCTAATCCGGAGCTTTCTCCGTCAGTAGGGGGAGGTGGGGCTGATCTGACTAAGTTAACCTTTTGTTTCTCTTCGGTGGGAGTGTCGGGTAAAGTGGACGATTTCATTGTATCTGTGATGTTCCCCATTGAGGAGGATCTTAGATTTAGTCGCGACGCGGATTTTGATCGTGGAATATTCTGGAAACTGAACGATTCTTTGCCCTCGGATCTCGGCTTATAGCAACACCAGAACCAAATGAGGCAAATGAGGAGGCCTAATGGTAGAATAACTGCCACGATGATGCCCCAAGTTAAGAATAGAGCACGTTGAGAATATTCTTGGTTACCTGGATATGAAATATTTGGAGTTAATTTGTTGATTAGGCCATGTAAATTAAGTACGTTTAGATAATAATGGATAAGGATTTTTTGTAAAAGCGATTAAAATATAGTACTCACGTAGACACTCCGTATATCCATAATCGGGAAGATTCCATCGACCGTTGTCTTCACAGACGCGTCGCTTGTCGCCTATCAAGATGAAGTCTTGGTTGCATTCGAAGTTGACCTATAGATATACGAGAGAATTATATAAAGAAGAATGGTGTGATAACTATACACTATAAGGAAAAATAAAATGTTGCTCAATGAATTTGTAGTAACTCAATCACTCACCCTAGTTCCCGGTGTAAAGAAGAAATTACTCTTTCTTCCGAAACGTGGAGTTTCTAAAATACCGCAACTGATCACTCGTCGAGCATTTTGTTCTTT